GAAGCTGAGAAATGATGATGCCTCGTTTTTGTTTTGAGGAACTCTCCTCTCTGACTTGGCTCTGTTAGTCGGACCAGCCCCGCTCCTTTTGGAGTTACTTCCTTTCACATTTTATATGCGATCAGGCCTGAAATCATTCGTGCAAAGAAAAAGAAAAAACAAGAAAACAGACTGAAAGATTCTCAACAAGATGAAGTTTGTTTTTATCACAGAAACACAAGAGAGTTGTCAGTCTGGACAAAAACGAAGCACTCCTTTGAAAATGAAAAATTCTGCAAGTTTTTTTCTTCCTCTTTTCTATTTCAGAAGCACAAGGAGATGTTGCAACAGAGCACAGAGAGTTTGCACAATCATGAGCTCTGCAGAGCAAATATAGATCTAAAAAGGTTTCAGACCGACACAAGTGCAGAGGACAGACAGCATAACGAGGAGAGGGAATCAGGAAGTGGCAATCTGCGGCTTCTCCTGTGGTCGCTGCGTTTACTTCGGCTTCAGAAGTGGCTCCAGCTTCGACTGGCTACTGAAGAGCCTGAAGGAGACTGAAAACATCTGTCCATCTTCCCCGTCCTCCTGTGTCTTTTGTTTGGCATGGACGGTGGAGATGATGTCCAGACGCTGATGTCCCCCACAGCTCGGCTGCTTTCACGTTGGCGACCTTCATGTTGGGCGTTGCTGTGAATCTTATCAGCAAGCTGAAGACCGCAGACAGAAATAAAACACAGAACGCTCTTCAGGAGTTAACTCTTTGCAGGGTTGTTGTGCATCCTGTATTTGTATCATTGTTGTGCCTCATCGTTACATCTAAACGATGCTAAGAATACATTTGTTTATTTTGTGGGTTTGATTGTGTGAAGTCATCTTACAGGAAGTGTTGTCTCGCTGACCTGGTTCTCCAAAACTGCCCAGAAACTTTTCTTTTTTGGTACTTCCTCTGAAAACAGCCTTCACACTCAATCAGCCCACGTCCTCAAGGTGAGAAATTAAAAAAACGTTTTTCTAAACTTTGAGATGAGGAAGAAACTGAGCTGCATCCTGCTGGTGCAGCTTCATCAGCAGGATGCAGCTAAAAAAATCCATATTTACAAAATGATGCAACAAGAACAAAACTGCTGCTCAGGGAAGAGTAAAGTACAGTTGAGAGTAGTAGCACCATCACCAGTAGGTGGTAGGGTAAAGTGTCTTGCCCAAGGACACAACGACCAGGGGATCCGGGGATCGAACCGGCGACCTTCCGGTTACAGATGCGCTTCCCAACCAACTGAGCCACGGTTGCTCCAAGTACAGAGTACAGTACAGAGTACAGAGTAGAGTACAGTACAGAGTACAGTACAGAGTACAGAGTAGAGTACAGAGTAGAGTACAGTGCAGAGTACAGTACAGAACAGAGTACAGAGTACAGAGTCCAGAGTACAGTACAGAGTACAGTGCAGAGTGCAGAGTACAGAGTAGAGTACAGTGCAGAGTACAGTACAGTACTGAGTCCAGAGTACAGTACAGAGTCCAGAGTACAGAGTACAGTACAGAGTACAGTGCAGAGTACAGAGTACAGAGTGCAGAGTACAGTACAGAGTACAGT